GATATGTACTGGAAACTATAAACTATCCTTATTTATTGATGACATGATCCTTTACATAGAAAATCCAAAAACACCATGAGAAAACTCTTAGAACTAATAAATTCAACAATGTAGCAGGATACAATATCTTTAAACTTATATGCGAGGAAAAAAACACCCAAGAATAGTCCCAAAAAGCACATTAAGAGTAAAGATGGACAAGTCTAATCAGACACTTATAGTAAAGCCTCTACAATCAAATCAATATGATACTGGTACTGTGTGATCATTAGAAGACAGCCTCCCTTGCCCTGTTTCAGAAACTACCTTAGAGCCCCGTATCTTGCTTTATTTTCCTCTGCAGCATTTTACCACTTATTACACATTTACTTTCTATAGACTTTCATTAGAACAGCATTTAGTAACAGCAGAGATTTTTGTTATTGTTGTTCAGCACTCTATGTCTAACACCTGGAGCAGTGCATGACTCACAACAGACAATAAATAGTTGAGGGGGGGGATTTCAAAAACTAAAAGGAAAACATGAACATGATGTATCACACCAAAAATACAGAATGTATTTCAAGTGAGGTGTTCTTAAGGCCCATGTGGTTGTTATCCTGCTCCTGGTTCTGTTCTTAAAATAAACATATTATTTAAATTAACTCTTTACAGCTGAAACTCAAATATGATCCTAATTACTCTCTATATCTGTATAGCTACCATGTCTCATAAAACACACTTTATATTATCATATGTGTTCTTCGCAATAACTTTAAAAGATAGATATTGCTGGAATTTCTTCCTGATTCTTTTCAAATACTGAAACTGAAACTCATAAAAGTTGAATCATTGGGCACTAAGCAAGTCTAGTTTTTGACAGCTTCTCTAATGACCATTTTGCCCCAGGTGTTCTTAATTACTACCGTGCATCAGAATTATCTGTGGAGCTGAAAATCCACACACCCGTGTTCCAGCCCATAAACTCTGAGGCATTCAATTTGAATGAAATCTAGCTTGGTTATTTCCTACACACTTCACAGAGGATTAATCCATAATGACCATTAAGAACAATTTCATTACACAGTTCTCTCGTATATCATTTCCATGCTCAAAAATATTTCAATTTTATTCAAACTAAAACCTAAAATGCTGGTAGGCATTTGAAACCCTTTGAACAACTGCTTCCTTTCCAGTCACTACACACAGACAAAGCTGTATTATACTGCCTTTTCCAAATTGTGCCTCCTTCTTCCTTGTTCCCATGCTTCTGCTTGTGTGGCTCCTCCCTCCAGAAGAACGCTTTCTTCTCCTGCACTAAAGCCTAGAAGGACACATTCCTCCAGCCTTTAAAGACCAGCTCAAAAACCACCACATACATGAAGTCTTTGCAAAATTTCCCCATCCTCCTGTAAGTTACTTACAAACATCTCTGTTGGCTCCACTATATTGCAGGGCTTATGTTGTGCTTATCTTTATGACTCTCGCGACAACTAGAATTTGTCTTATTTAATACATATATGTAGAATTCAATTTTTTTAAATGATTTCTCTTTCTTTTACAACTATACAACTATACAACTTATACAACTATAGCTGCCCTGTTTGGGCTGATGGAAACTCTGATAAAAGCTGCCATTCAAAGATAGTGTTGGGGCTGGGGATTTAACTCAGTGGCACTGTGCCTGCCTTGCAAGTGCAAGGTCCTGAGTTCAATTCCCCAGTACCAAGGAAGGAAAGAAAGAAAGAAGGGAGTCAACCTCCATTTGCTATTCAGTGAGATTGTATCTTTGAGTTTTTGTGGTTATTTAAGATAGAAACTACAAAGAGAAAGAGAAATTACAGGGCATGGTGGCACATGCCTACAATCCCAATATCCTGGAAGGCTGAGGCAGGAAGACCACAAATTCAATCACAGCCTGGGAAATTTAGCAAAACCCTGTCTAGAAATAAATAATTAAAAAGGCATGTATATGCACACCTATGTTTATAGCGGCACAGTTTGTTTTGGGTTTGTTTTTGTTTTTTGGGGTTTTTTTTAGCGGCACAATTTGTAATAGCTAAAACCTGGAAACAAACCATTTGCCCATCAGTTGGAAAAAGGATACAGAAGATGTGGTTTTTCTATAAAATGGAATACTATTCAGCCGTAAAGAATCAGAAATTAGACTCATTCATAGGAAAATGGATACATATTGAGAATATACTCCTAAGTGAAATAAATAAGTCACACGTGTAAATACTGAATAGTTTCTCTGGTGTGAAAAACTATAATAGTACATAAGATCCTAAAGAGATAATTGACCATGAGAAATAGGAAAAAAGGGGCTAAAGGTGTAGGGAAAGTGGTAAGGGTAGAGGCAGGTGATAAGGGAAAAGAAAAAATATGCGAAAATGGAAATAAAGTGTTTGTAAATGGGGAAGGGAAAAGGGGGTGAAGGGAGGGCAGGGACAAGGGTAAAAAATGAGAACCAAGACCTATAATGTAAAGGTACAAGATCCCAATAATGAATGTAACTGTACTGTATACCTAAAATGTACCAATAAACTCAATGAGATGAAAAATAAATTTAAAAAAAAAAGGCATGGGGATGTAGTTCAGTGAAAAGGCCCTGGGTTCAATCCCCAGTACCACAAAAAAAAAAAAGGTTTACTTATCCCAAAATTATTCCCAGAGAGATCCCAATATTCCCAGTCACTCACATTCCACTGCACAAAATAACTTTTTAAAAATTTCCTATACTACACAAAAGAAAACATTCAGCATACTTTTTCCTTTGTTTAGCTAACAAAACTTTAAGGTACACTAGCTACAAGAAAAAGCTGGCACTTAAAATCTTGTGTAATCTATTCTCAAAGGTGAACAAATAATAGGTTTTTCCTCCCTTTGTTTAGCTACAAATGCTTTAAGGTCTACTAGGTACAAGAGTTGGCACTTAAACTACTTACTCAGAATCTTGTGTAAACTATTCTCAAGAGTGAACAAATAATACTCTGGCAGTTGACAAAATGATAAGCAAAAGGAAAATAAAGAGAGTCTAAGTAATGGTCAGAGTGGGAACAAATGGGAAAAACTGAGAACTTTACAAACTATAGTATTAGCCACCAGCTAAAGATAGCTAAAGATTATCACCATCATAGAGCTAAAGCTTATCAGAAAGAAATCTATTTTCTGCCAAAATCTCCTGAAGACACTAAACACAAATGTTAATATTCATTTTGAAGGAAAGGGATGTAATGAATAAAAAAAGAACACAGAAAAATATGTATTTATCACTGTCTATAAAAAATGAATAACGAATGCTAAGTCTACTACTATACTTTAGTTCCATCATTCTAAAAACTCCCCTATGGTATTGTTTTTTAAATAATTCCCCTACTTCAAATCCCTGGCATCCACTAATTGACCTTTTCTGTAGTTTTGCTCTGCCATTTGGGGGTAATCATTCATTATGTAGCCTTTTCAGTCTAGCGTTTCTAACTTAGCAAAATGCACATAAGATACATACATTTTGTCGTGTTAATAGCTCATTCCTACTTATTACAGAATAACTGTAGTGACATACCACTGTTTATTTATGCATTCACCTACTGAAGAATTTCTTGGTTGCCTTCAATTTTCTATTATTATGAATGAAACTGGTAAAACACAGGTATGAAAACCCATTTTTCAAATCGATTTGATAAATACACAGCAGTACAATTGTTGGGTCATATGATCAGTATATGTTATAAGACACTGCTTAACTGTATTCCAAAGGGATTATGCCATCTGTACTCCCACCAGCAGGTATGACATCACTAGCATTTGTCCTTGGTCCTCATACCTTATGTTAGGGTCTTGGCTCTGAACCCAGAAAAAAAGAAATATAATTATAGTGTACTATTTGATTTTGCATTGTGTAGTCATAGTAACTAGTTAAATGTTTATGTTGGTTTTTAACTTTTCAAATAAATTGAAAGCATGAGTTAATTATCATTATAGAATAATTACCAATGCACTAATAGCAACCATTCATATGATATTTAACATATACCAGATCCTGTTTTAAATGCTTTTCCTCTTAACCCTGAAAAGTCATGTGATACAATTACCATTATCATAGCCATTTTATTACTGAGGAAAATGAGGCATGACATTAAATAAAATGTCTAATATTTAATTAAGTAAAATTTGCACAGTCACATAGCTAGGATATAGTAGAGCTCGGGTCTGAACACAGCCTGGCTCTGATGTTTACATTCTTAACCACAAATTTATAATACCTTCCTTAAATAAAATATAAATATTATAAACTCTGATAAAGTGAATAGATATTTGGCAAACATTAAAAGGCAGAAGGAAGGTAAAAGGTGAAGTAAAGGGTATCTGTAATAATATCCTCACATTATAAAAAGGGAAATAAGAGATACTGGTAAAAGTTAATGGCATATGAAAATTTTTTATCCTGAAAACTGGTAGTCTCCAGACATTTTGTTTTGTTCTGTTCTGTTTTGTTTTGTTTGAGAGAAGGTCTCACTATGTAGTTCAGGCTGGCTTCGAGCTCACAGCAATCTTCCTGCCTTAGCTTCCCAAGTGGTGGGATTACAGGCGAGTACCACTACATCTATCAAGAATGAAATATGAAATAGAGGTTGTCTTACTTTTCTCATTGCTGAGACAAAATACCCAACAGTTCAAGTTAAAAGGGAAAGGTTTATTTAGCTCACAGTTTGTAGATGTTTCAGTCCATAATTAGCTGGCTCCAAGGCAGGGTGGCGTGGCATGACATAGGGGCATTGTGGAGGAAAAACAGTTCATGGCAGGCAGAAGGTAACAAAACAAGCAAGAGAAAACACAAGCCTCTTTCTATCCCTTATACTGTATCCAGGCTACCAGGATAAGGGTGGTGCCAAAACAATCAATGGACTGTTTTAGTAATCACCCACCCTTAATCCTGGAAGTGCACCATGAATCAATCACACACTACATCTAGCCACTTCTGAAAAAGCCCACTTAAGACTGCATGAGGCTTTGGGGGGTACATCTAGACACAAGCCATCACAGAAGTTCAGGCATATTAGATGTGGAAAAAATCAATAGGGGGAACAACAACAACAATATATAACTACATAAAATTTAAAGCAGGAAGTCATGTAGCACAAGAGTAGTTAAGTCAATGGTTATTCTTTATTAATAAATCATGAAACAGTAGTACAAACATTTTAAATAATAGAAACATTCACCAGAAGACAAAAATAGTTAAAATTGGCTTGCAACATTTCAAATAGGCTAGTATAGTATGATAGCTAAAAATATAAGCCCTAGCCGAGCACGGCTGTACATGCCTAGGGAGGCTGAGGCAGGAGGAAACCATGAGTTCAATGTATATATACATGCACACTAGATCATGAGTGTCCCACCTTTTGGCTTGCCTGGGCCACATTAAATAAAGAGGAATTGGCTTGGGCTGCATATAAAATAAGAACACCTTCATAGGCACACACACACATAAACAGGTTAAAATAACACTGTTAATCACTGCATTTTACTCACCACGTCACATGAGTGCATGTAACATCTGATACACACAGGTTTTGACTCTTCTACTATATGTGGTAGGGCATGGGAGGTGGAGCTGGCACTGCACTGAGCACTTCCCTACAAAGCATTTTTTTCAGTCGTTGCCTATGGAGTCTGCCTGGGCACCACAGAATGAATCACAAAATATATCACCAAAACCACCTAATAATGTTAGAAGTTTACATGGGGCAGTCTTACTAGCTGACCAGAGTCACAGGTGTCCTCTGGGTTAGACATATCTGCTCTAGACCAAAACCCATACCCCTAGTCAGTATTAATAGATCTACTTAAGAAAGTCAGGGATGGGAGTTTAGCTCAGTGGCACTGCGCCTTCCTTATAAGCATACAGTCCTGAGTTCAATCCCCCGTACCAAAAAAAAAAGAAAAGAGAGTCATTTGACCTCTCTGTTCCACAATCCTCTTTTCTGAAAACAGCTAATTCATATGTCTGATATGTGGATTACAAGAATTAATATATGTAAAGCATCAGAACTGAGACTGTCATGTTAGCCATCAGGTGTGAGCTATAGGGGAAAACACACACACACACACACACACACACACACACACACACATATTTACACTTCATTTCTGACTTACTTAGCCAAAGATCCAAAATCTCGGGCGTGAAGATGCCCCGCAGAGCAGGAACAGAGCAGCATTGTTTCAGCAGAGCTTTCATCAGCCTCCAGAGTTAGGCACTGTCGGGGAGAGGGTGAGGCAGGGTTTTGCCATATTTGCCAACCTTGATTCTTCTAGCCCACATCTCCCTTGTGCTCGGGGCTTATATCACCATTTTGAAAAGGACAATCATTAACAAGGTGTGCCTTTAATGTGCAGAAATTAAACATCTCAGCTCCTGCACATTCTCAAGCCACATCCAGTGTCACTAAGGCCATAACTTACCAAGGTGGAAAAGCAGAATCAATGCCCGGATATTCCTAAACAGCCTCACTTCCTCCAGCTTTCTAGTGTTTGGAAAGACTGTTTCTCTACAGATTGATTCTCAGTAGAACTGGAGCTCTGATCACTGTGGAAGACAAAGTATTAAAAATCTTAGTCCTTGCCATAAATCTCATTTAGCTTAGCATTAGGGGAAAAGGACACATATAAAAGATGGTAAATATAAAAACACAGATAAGATTAGGAAGAGTGGACTAAAGAAGCAGAATTTGCAAAATGAAACTGAACAACTAGTATTGGAAAAACAGATCTTTGTGGTAGTAAGACAAAGCTGCTTGGACAAGAGTAGAAAGTAGTTGGTTAGAAAGCAAGAAAGATGGCATTCTAAATAAAAGGAATAAAAACTTACCATAGGAAGGGAGTAATGCAAAAGGAGAGCTCATGCAACATAAATATTCCAGTGTGACAGAAGTAGGAAGTATGTATGGAATTACATATAAACAGCCATGGAAACCCTAGAGCTTTTGGAGGCATATACTAAGTAGAAATAAGAAGTAGTAAGGGATTTCCAAAGGTTTATTCTTTTCTATGGAATGATTTGGTCTGTTTTAGATATTATCTGTCTGTTGATCTTTCTAAACTTCAGTCTAGTAGACTCACATGCACCTCAGCAGCCTCGCTCTACTTGGATATCAAGCAGGCATCAGAAACCTTAACATATTCAAAGATGGATTCCTCAAAGTCTCTGCCATACCCGCTCCTCTCAGCGCTACCACCCTCGTGTCAGTTAGTGGCAACTCTACTCTTCCAGCTGCTCAGGCCAAAGATCTTAAATAATCCTTCAATTTGCTTTTTCCCCTCACAACTCAGCAGCAATCAATTAAACATTTCTGTCAGTTCTACTCCAAATATATCCTGGGACAATACTCTCACTACTCCCACTGCTCTCACTGAAGTCTGAGCCACCATCATCTCTCTTGGATTTGTGTCAGAGTTCCTAACCAACCTGCCAGCCTCCTCTCTCCTTTCAATATAGTTGCCAGAGTGATTCTGTTAGCATGTCAATCAGAATGTGTCACTTATATGCTCAAAGCCTCCAATGGCTAACCATCTCATGCAGAATACAACCTAGTTGTGATGAGACACTATTCGATCAGAATTCTCCCTCTATATCCCTCACCCCGTAACACGCATCTGTGCTTCCTACTGCTCTTCTTCCTCCTCGCTCACTCTGCTGCTCCCCAATATTCAGACATGTCAGGCACACTTGTACCTGGAGTCCTATGCACTGGCTTTTCCCTTTATCTAAAACTCTTTTCCCCAGGATACTCACTTTTTGTTTCACATCCTTCAAATTTTTACTCAAATGCCAGCTGTACAGAAAGCCTTCCTGAACACCTTATCCAAATGTCAGTCTCTTACCCTTGGTATCTCTTATCCCACTCCTTCACCAAATTTTCATACTTCACAGTTTTCCCCCACCTAATATGCTATATATGCGTGCTAATTTATGATCCTTCCACTATACTGTGAGCCTGTGATGAGTAGAGTCTTAGTGGTTTTTGAAATACCCTAGAATATAAGCCAGAAGTTTTTACATCCTTAATGTGTAACAGAGTCCTTGGCACATCATAAGTACTCAATAAATTTTTGTTTAATGAATGGAAGGACCTGGAAATTCTGTACAAAATACATTAGAAAGAAAAGACATTCTAGGCCAGGGATTTAGCTCAGTGGTTCCACTACCTGCCTTACAAGTGCAAGGTCCTGAGTTCAAATTCCGGTGCCAAAAAGAAAAGACATTCTACTCAGAATACCATATTCTCAAAAACCTTTGTTGAGTACCAACTATGATGCAAGGTTTCATAGGGGTATAAAGACAAAAAGGGAAATGGTCAGGAGAGATTCAATGAACTATAATCTAAAGAAATATTTATAACATTTGTGTTAGAATTGTGAAGAAAGAGTTCTAAGTACTTGAGAAAAAGTTCTATTGATTGGAGAATATTGCAGCAGCCTAGGCATCAAATAATCAGGCCAGTTATGATTTAAATCTAAAATATCTCCCAAATGTCTCAGGTGTTCAGAATTTGGGCTAAATTCATTAGTGGATTAATCCATTTGTATTAGTCAGCTTTGCCATTACTGAGACACAACACTCAATACCCACAACTTATAGGAGGAGAAGTTTGATTTGAATCAGTTTCAGACCATGGTCAGCTGGCTCTAAGGCGGAAGAAACATCCTAGTGAAGGGGGTGTGGGGCAAAGCTGCTTACTTCGTGACAGGTGGGTGAATAGTGCCAGAGAAGAATGAGAGAGGAACCATGTACCTCAAGACTACACCTCCATGACCCACCCAAACACACCCAGAAGTTCGCTTTACTAATTTGCTAGATGTTTCTTAACCTAAAGAAGTTGACAGACCAGGATTAATCATCCAAATCCACCCCTTGTAAAATTCATACCCAAATACATGCTCTAAATCATACTTAATCTCTGAATAAAGACATAGCAAGTTCATAACTCCATACAACCTAATGCAGCTAGCCGAGCCCCATGAACCACAGCTGCAGCAGCCTCTGGGTGACTAGATGGCTGAGTAGAGTGAAATGAATACTGGGGAACCAATTTCCTAGGAGGCCCTTCTCAGGAAGTTATCCCAGGCACACTTTTCTCAAAATAAAAAGTTTATACTTTTATACCCTTGAGCCTCCGATGAATAGGATCATGCTGATTTTTGAAATATTGTGAAGTCATCTTTCTTCGTGTCCCTGTACAAAGTACTTGCTTTCTTTTTAATGGTGCTAATCTTGCTAGCAGTCATACTACCTTTGGCCCTAGCTTTACTCATGGTTCCTTCTGGGTCAAAGTCTTAATTTTTTAAAATTTTCTGCTCTTCCTTTTGCTTTCTATTCCCATTATAAATCTGACTAAACATGGCCAGTTAGCATCACAGCCTCAGTGTTGGGCTGTCTTCAAATTTCCTCCACCAGATTAATTAGTCCACTGCCCTTTCAGTCTCTGTCAACATCTCAGGACATGGGAAAATTGTAGACAACTCTTCTGTCAGAGTGGAACACACATGGCTTGTAGTCCAATTGCCAATGGTGTCCTTATTCCCAATTGAAGCTTCCCGAGCCTTACTTTTACTATCTGCATTCCTAGCAGCATTCTGGTCTTCTGAATTCAACCATAATCAACCATTAGGCTCTGCTTATTATATACTAAAGCTTCTCTAGCCTGCATCTCCAAACCTTCCCACAAACCAGTTCCAAGTGCTTCTAAACCACATGGTCAAGTACAGTCATATCAACAACCCTACCCCTGGTACCAATTTTCTGTGTTAGTCAACTTTTCTTTTACTGAGACACAATATCCAACACCTATAGCTTAAATGAAGAATGATTTACCTCAGTTTCAGTCCATAGTGAGCTGGCTCCAAAGCAGAAAGATCATGGCAGAAAAGCATGCTGGAACAAAGATATTTAGTTCATGGTAGCCAGGAAGAAGAGCAGGGAAACAGTGCCAGAAAGAAATGGAGAAAGAACCATATATACTACTCAAGACTACACCTCTATGACCCACCCAGACACACCCAGGAGTATGCTTTATTAATCTGCTAGTCACTTTTAATCCAATAAAGTTGACATATCAACATCCACCCCATTGACAGATTCATAATTTTATGGCATTAGTGGAGACAATAGAAACCTAGGAGATGAAATATAGTAGTTCAAGCCTGTGCGCCATGAGGTCATGATCTTGGTGATGCTATCTAATTCCTGACTCCTTCCTCTCTGGGTCTTCCCTTTTTTTATTTCCTGGCTCCCATGAGGCAAGCAGCTTTTCTCCACCATTCCCTTCTCCTCTGCCTCACCACTGGCCCAGAAATAATGGAGTCAGCCATTCTTGGATTGAAATCTCTAAAATATGAGCCAAAATTAATCTTCTCTCTTTAAAGATGTTTCTCTCAAGTATTTTTGCCACAGAATGGAAAGCTAATACAGGGCCCTACATTGGATGCATTACAGAAAATAAGAAAAGATGTTAGCCACTAGGTTGGTACTTTTAGGGGTAATTACCTATGCTTGAAAGAAACTTTTGAGTAACTGCTAAATTCCTTCAAATTGTTTGTTATTGTTTCAGATAAAGCCCTTCAGAAAAAACTGTAGCCAACCTACTTAAATCAGTTAAGGTTGCCCAGCCCCTCTTCTAGGTGACATAGAATACATTTTATTATAGTCTAATTATAACACTAAATTCTCCACTTACAAAATTCACTTTTGATCATATAAGAAACACGATCTCCAACTGAGCACACTCATTAAGGTGCCTATCTCTACCTGTAATGACATCTTTTCAATATGAACATGCACGAGTTTCCCCATGCTCTTTGTTCAAGAAGTACTGCTTTGAAAATTACACCTAGTGCTCTCCTTATTTGCTGCAAGAAATAGACCTTTCTTTAGTCTTTTACCTCCTAATTGTGCTTATCAGTTTTGCCTTAGCCAACAAGGAGACTGTTACAAAGGGACAGATGATAATGCACAATGTGTGAAACTTTGGTAATGACAAATATATGCCATTTTCAAAAAGTGAGGAGGATTTAAGTATGTAGCTCAGTGGTACAGTGACATGGCCTGGGTTCAACTCCTAGCACCAATAAATAAATAAGGAGCAGACTTAAAAGTGGATGGAAGCAGCAAGAAAATATATGAAAAAATGTTCCACATCACTGGTCATTCGAGAGATGCAGATGAAAACAACACTGAGATTCCACCTCACCCCACAAAGAATGGCTGCTATCAAGAAATCACACAATAACAAATGTTGGCAGGGTTGTGGGGAGAAAGGAACCCTCCTCCATTGTTGGTGGGAGTGCAGACTAGTGCAACCACTATGGAAATCAATATGGAGATGCCTCAAAGAGCTTGGACTGGAGGTTCCATTTGACCCAGCCATCCCTCTGTCGGGTATCTTTCCAAGAGAACTAAAAGAATCATATCACAGAGAAGTATGTGCACCCATGTTTATAGCGGCACAGTTTGTAATAGCTAAATCTTGGAAACAGCCTATTTGCCCATCCGTTGGAAACTGGATAAAGAAGTTGTGGTTTTTCTATAAA